CCATAATATGAAGCAGTATACAGGTGGGTTAGATCATGTTCATCTACCCTCAATATTTATATTAAATTTTAGATTTGATTTCCATCTGTGTTTATGTCATTTTGTCTAATTATGATAGTTTGAAAAATAATTTTTGAAGAAGTGCCATTGTTGCTATAAAATGAGTTGTACAAATGAATTATTTATTAAGGATTTTCAATTATTTGAAATACATCAGAAGTTATCATGCATGATTTACAGAGTAGTCAGACTTGTGAGGTGACCTTATTATCTTCAGCATTACTTGCCTGCTCATTATAATCCAGCACTACTGAGAAAATATATTTCTTAAGTTTTACTTGATTTATTCTATAGATATTTACTTTAGTATATACACTGCATAAAGTTATATGACTTAATTAAGTGCTCTCTGCATTATTATTATTATTTATATTATTATTATTATTATTATTAATTTGGGTTTTGAATACAGGGTGCATCTGTGAAATAGCATTAGTTGTCTCAGAACTCACTATGTAGACCAGAGTGGCTTTGAACTCACAGAGTTCGACCTTCCTGTGCTTCCCAAGTGCTGGGATTAGATGCCTGTGACACCACCCAGTGCTTCTATTATTATTATTACTGTTATTATTATAGTTTGTAACTCAATAACAGTTCCTGCATATGATTTGGTAGATAACACTGTGTTGTTGTGTTAAAATGTTAGATTTGCTTGTAGGGAATGCAATATTTTGTTTTGTTTTGTTTTTCGAGACAGGGTTTCTTTGTATTGTTTTGGAGTCTGTCCTAGAGCTAGCTCTGTATACCAGGCTGGCCTCGAACTCACAGAGATCCGCCTGCCTCTGCCTCCCGAGTGCTGGGATTAAAAGTGTACCCCGCCAATGCCTGGTGGAATGCAATATTTTAACTTTTTTTGATCTTCTTTTCATGTTCTATGACTACAAGATCATAAAATTAGCATACTTATTAGGCTAGAAAGATGTATGTGTGATACTAATTTTTAAAGCAATGCTGACTATCTTGTTTACTAAATGTAAACTAAATGTAATAATCAATTAATATAAAGTTTTTATTTTTGTATATATATACATGTATGTATATATGATAGGTGTGTGTGTGTGTTTGCAGTGATGTGGACCACTTTGTAAGAGAACAATGTGAAAGAATTTACTCCCAATTTCCAACATGTAGGTTGGGCAGGTGGAATTCAGACTGTCAATATTAATGGCTGCCATCTTTATCCACTGAGTCATATCATAGTTCCCAGACTTAATTTTGCCCTATAACTGTATCTACTTGCAAGTATGAAAAAGGTTTACATTTGATATGAATGGCAGAGTTTCAGTCATAAAAATACATACAAAATAATCATAGAGATAACTATTACATAGATTTTATGAACAAAAGAATAGTTTGAAAACATAAATGACAAAACTGACAACTGGGTTTCATTTATTTTTATAGTAAATATATACATATATGTTTAATATAGATTGGAAGCAATCTTATATTACATATCCACAACTAGGTTTTCAATCATATTGTGTTTGGCTTTGTTTTTTCCCTTGGCTCACTGAAATTTGGCATGGAATATGTCTATGTATGACATGATGACTTTTCTTGTATATAAATAAAATATCAATTAATGGATTCTGGAACCAATTAACATTTGTTCTCAATATACCACAGAGAAGAATAGTATGCTTCTATAATAGATCATAATAATATAGACAGGCTGGAACTTCTTTCTCAGGTAGACAACACATGCAATATATTATAGCTTAACACATCTTAATATTACATATAATTAGGATGTTAAATGCCAGCAAGTATGCTTTGTAAGTAATAGCTAATGTACCTCTTACCAGAGCTCCATTCCTGCTGAGCAACCTTCAAATTTAAAAACTGCTTTCCAGGCTCCTATGCCCTCAAGGAGAAGACAGGCAAAAGTAATGATACTATTGGAACTGCATATAATCAGCTCCTATAAAAACATCTAGTCCTGATTCCAATTATGTTAATTCACTGCTGTGGGAACTGTACATTTCAATCACCAGAAGGTTTTGTGCCTTTCAGAAGCCCCTTGGCAGCACACATGCAGTCCCCTTGAAAGTATTTAGCAAATCCCTTTGTGATGCATGAGGGTTTAAAGACATAGTAAACCAATCCTTTTACATTGATAAATTCCTCTGAGGTCAATGGGAGCTTTGCTCAGGCTGGAGATGGAGGGTTTCTCTTCCTCAGTTCAGTCTCTAAAAGAATCTCAGATAATATACAATCATACCGATATCTATTCTCTACTTCTAGCACCACTAGAGGGCAAGAGGATTATAATTCACAGTAAAACAACAGTTTAAATCCTAGCCACCTGGTTCCAGTACCTTAGAAATTTTGGTGATATTTCTTCTTCTTCCTCCTCCTCCACCTCCACCACCACCTCTTCCTCCTCTTCCTCCTCCTCCTCCTTCTTCTTCTTCTTCTTCTTCTTCTTCTTCTTCTTCTTCTTCTTCTTCTTCTTCTTCTTCTTCTTCTTCTTCTTCTTTTTCTGCTGCACTTTGCATTTAAATGTGTCACTGTTGCATTCTCCTGTGCCCGATAGAACTCTCAGGACATATTTGATGTAGTGGCAAGGGATGTAATGCAGTTTTCTTTACCAAGAAAACACCTCTGGTAATAAACAGGTTGATATTTTTTAACCTTAGAGTCATCCTTAGCATGGAACTCCATTGAAGTGGAGCATACTTCCTTGTAACCACGCCGAAGGAATATTTAGGCTCCATTCATAGAGCTATGAGCTTAGCTGCAATATGAAACCGCTCTCTGATACATTTCCTTGTTGTAGATGAACTGAGGGTTTCCCTCATGGTTACTAATTCCCCCTTCCAACCATGAAATCCTTTAATAATGACTGATAGACCCAATTGTTTGGCGATAGTCTATTCTGTACAGAGCAGTTATTGTAAAACACACTCCATCCTGGAAAACTATGTTGAAGTTCATAACTGCAAAATCAGAAGTTAATTGGGAACTTTGGTCTGCATTAGTTATTTAGCAAACCTTGACTTTTTTCAATTTTCCAGACTGATGATGCTCTTCAGGAGAGAGGGTCTGGCCGGTTTCATCCCACTTACTTTGAAATATTTATAATATTTTACTATCATAAAACAATCAATTTCTAAAATACTGCGTACATACCCAATTTACAAGGTCTTGAAACACTTGTCCCTAAATATAAGAAGGAGAAGTTCTGTGATAACGGTCAACACCCCTCAGGTGTTGTTAATTTTTATCTCAAAATCTTTGAGTTAGGGTTGCAAAGAATTTATAAAATAATGGTCTTTGAATTTCAAATAAACCAGGTGTTTCTTTGAAACATAACGTCTTCTTTTCACCTGTTCATACTGTGGTCAGGAAAAGATACTTCGAGTCCTGGAACACTAAGCTTAGCAACCTGTCCCCAGTGGCCACTTAATAATTTCAAGCTAGCAGTGCAAAGGGCAGTAAATGAGTTTTAATAACAATGTGACTACATTGAGAAAGGGAGTCTAGAGATATAAAATCTGGGTTTAGTATGCTTAAAACTATATAAATGTTGTATACAAAATACAAGGACTGGTGCTGTCTCCAGTTGTAGTACAAGTATTGAATTGAAAGCAGATGGAATTAAACAAGAAGAAACAAACAAACAAACAGATTAAACAATCAGTTGAGATAGAATCAAGAAACAAAATTGTATTTGCTAGTTTAGTGTTTGAGAACTTTTACAAATTACTGCTTGAGGACGTTATTTCACATCTCCAGGGGCAGAGCAGAAGGTAGGGCACTGTGACACCAGCTCCTGGAAAAGGATATGTTCTGCCTGTTGTTATACAGGTTCCTGATATCACCTTAATGTTTTCTAGCTCCTCCTCCTCCCTCTCATCCTGCTTTTCTTCATCCCTTGTCTTTTTCTGGTGTATTTATTTCAATAAATGTTGAACCCAGTGATATGATGATATAAATCAAGGAGCTAAGCAAATTGAGAGCTCTTTTACTTTTAATTTGAACAGTGTCTTATAATGTAGCTGTTCTCAAAATTTAAATTCCCAAATTAAGCAAATGTTTTCAGTGTGGTAGCTAATTACTTTTTTTCTTTTCTTCTTACTAAAAGGATCCTCAACTATGTAAAAATCTGAATAACACCAATTGACAAGCTAAGCAATAGTGTAGACACCACCTCGAATGTCTATTCAGCTGCTACTTCTAAAGGCAAGCCAAGTTGACCAATAAAAAAAATCCCGTCTTTTCCGTCCTTTTACCTGGAATTATGGGGAAGTCCAATCTGTGTATTCATTTCTGTCTGCAAATAAAGCTTTTATGTATATGTCAAAGCTATATCTTTGCAAATTGTATCCATATTCCACTGAGATTTTAAACTATTTTAAATCAGACAATAGAAATCACTAACAGTCCAAATAATTTTGGTAATCATCTACTACATTAAACCTGTGTTAACAACTAGAAATAAAATCTACAATACTTTTTTCTCATAACATCAAGAATATCATAACCTACTTAGTAAGTCACATCTGCAAATTAACAAGTCAATATGACATAAAGCTACCATTCTTAAGTTCATTACAAGACAGTAAAAATACTTATTTTAATAATAGATTTGTGGGGGAATATTTCTGCATTTCCTATGTCATGATATCTGAAATTCATGGAAGACTTTAGGGTTTGAAGAAGCAAGGTGATAAACAGAATAATCACAGAAGTTATTAGCAAGATTTCACTTATTGCTTACTAAATACTCTTCACTGTCTTAATCTGCATGGAAACTAGAGACTGACTTTTAACACTGAATATTGCTTTCATTAAGGCCCTACATGACATACAGATAATTTAAACAATGTGGTTATGAGAATATTAACAAAATACATTTAATGTTGCCTTTATTTTTAATCTTAAATAGCCTAATGCATGAATGATATTAGTAAAATTAAATTTTAATTTTTCAGAGTTCCGATGTCTCCCAGATCCTAGACCAGAGGTAAGCATGACTGAAGTTGGTGTTGCTCCAATTTGATCATTTTCTTGATATTTATAAATGCTGTTTGCTATGTCACATATGCTAAATGTATTTATAAGCTGTGAATACAATTATGTGAAATATGTTACACTGTACACATGTTTTTAATTTTAGAGATATTGACATAAATTGTATATTGTTTTTTAAGTCTGACTGTCCTCTATATAACTGTATGTACTCATACTAATTAAGTGTTCTGGGTTTTCCAAGTATCAGTATAAATGTAGACTTCCAGCACAGAACAGAGGATGGAAAAGTTTTAGGGTGATTTTATACTTGCTATTATTATCCCTTTTAATTATATTCATTTGAATTTTTATTAAGTAGACATAATTTAGGCTCTCAGTTTAAATAACTGAGAATGAATTGTCAGTTTCCATTGTGATAGGCTGTTTTTGCATAAATACATCATTCTTTCTGATAGTCTTTCAGATATTCTTCAAATCTATTTACCATTGTTACTTATTGGTGAGAAAATTAATTTTGAATTTTTATCATTTCTCACATCATCATTGTGCAGTACAGTATTATCTCACTTTAAGTGGAGTCCAGTGTACCAGAATTTCTTCTTTTAGACCACCAACCAGTTCCCAATCATGACACAGAGACATCTTAATTTTGAATGCTCAGCCTAGCTTACACATGTTTCTGGCGAGCTCTTTTTATCTTAAATTAATCTGTTTCTCTTTATATACATTTTGCCCCAAGATTTACTATATTTTCTTTTTTCTTGCTATTTCTATGCCTGGTTGGCTGATGGTTGCCCGAATTCTGGCCCACAATACCTCCTTTCTTCCCATCTCCTCTTGTTTATTCATTTTGTGCAGCCTAGATTTCTCTTCCTATTTATTCTCTATGCCTGGCAGCCCCACCTATCCCTCTTCTGCATTGCTACTGGCCATTCAGGATTTTATTAGACCAATCAGGAGCCTTAGGTAGGCAAAATGAAACAGATGTAACACAACTTTACATAATTAAACTCACATCCTTACATCCCTAAACAAATGAAGCATAAACAAAAGTAATATTTCCGCAGCATAAACAAATATAACACATCCTTGCCCAGTTAAAATACTGTTGTACAATAGACCAGAACCTGTGTATACTTTAGGGAAAATAACTAATCCCCTCAATATACGTTTTTATTTAAATTAGAAACATGAATGCTTCACATGTCAATCCCAGCTCCCCTCCTTCCTTGTCCCTCCACCAGCCTCCCTAGCCTCCCACCCCATCCCCACATAATTCCCAAGGGAGGGTGAGGCCCTCTTTGGGGAGATCTCCAAAGTCTGTCATTTCATCCAGGGCAGGACCTAGGCACTTCCCAGTGTGTCCAGGCTGAGAGAGCATGCCTCTATTTGGAATGGGCTCCCAAAGATCATTCATACACCAGGGTAAACAATGATCTACCCAAGGTCCCAGTGATTTCTGTGATCTCCTCACTGGCACTACATTCATGGAGTCTGGATCAGTCCCATACTGGCCTCTCAGCCATCAGTCTGGGACTCAAGAGCTCCCCCTTATTTGGTCAGCTGTCTTTGTGGGCTTCACCATCCATCATGGTCTTGATCCCTTTGCTCATCACTCCTCCATCTCTGTCATTAGATTCCAGTAATTCAGTTCAGTGTTTAGCTGTGGGTATCTGTCTCTGCTTCCATCAGTCCCTGGATGAAGGTTCCAGGATGGCATATAAGGTAGTCATCAACCTTATAATAAAGGAGGGGCTATTAATGTAGTCTCTCCACTATTGCTTAGTTTGCCAATTGGTGTTATCCTTGTAGATCTCTGGAGATCTCACTAGTGTCAGCTCTCTCCTCAAGACTATAATGACTCCATCTATTATGGTATCTCTCATCCTGCTCTCCTCTATTCTTACCTCGACTCAACCTTCCTGCTCTCTCATGCCGTCTTCTCCCCTCCTCTTATCCCCCTCCCTTTTTCGTGGTTCCCTCTCCCCTCCCCCGGTGTTTCCGATCTGCTCAGGAGATCTTGCCTCATTCTACTTCTCTGGAGTATCATGCATCTCTCTTGGGAACTCCGTGTTTCCCAGACTCACTGCCACTGAGATTATAGGCTGACACTCCCCTGATCCATATCTAAAATCCATATATGAGTGAGTACATAAAATGTTTGTCTTGTTGTGTCTGGGTTACCTCACTCAGGATGGTTTCCTCTAGTGCCTTCCATTTGCCTGCAAATTTCAAGATTCCATTGTTTTTTTCCACTGAGTAGTACTCCATTGTGTAAATGTACCACATTTTCTCCATCCACTCTTCAGTTGTGGGGCATCTAGGTTGCTTCCAGGAACTAGCTATTACATATAATACTGCTATGAACATAGTGGAACAGACATCCTTTTTCTGTGAATGGGCATCTTTTGGGTATATGCCTAACAGTGGAATTTCTTGGTCTTGTGGTAGACTGAGTCCCATTTTCCTGAGGAATCTCCATACTGATTTCCATAGTGGCTGTACTAGTTGACACTCCCACCAGTAGCGGAGGAGTGTTTTCCTTTCTCCACATCCTCTCTAGCACAAACTGTCATTGGTGTTTTGATTTGAGCCATTCTGACAGGAGTAAGATGATATCTCAGAGTTGCTTTGATTTGCATTTCCCGGATGGTGGAGAATGCACATTTCAGTGCAGTTTCTATATTGAATTCATTTTTACATTAAATTATTTTTCTCACTTTTTGAAATTTTATTTTAACGCAGAAAGGATTTACTGGAACAAAACTATATTGTAATTCAAAGAACATATATATTTATAACATATAAGAAAAATAAATTGATATTTTCAAAGATGATATGAGAGCATAATGTAAGAAGAAAATAGACAAAAAAGGTGAAAGTTTCAGGTTGAATATGCGATGACTTCGAATGACTTCTCCAATATTTCATCTCTAGTAATTGGCATATTTAAATCTCACAATTACTTTTTAGGCACCTAGCCACCACACTAGTAATTTCATTTAACTTGAAAAATTTCTCTCTTTTTGGTGCAATGAGCACCCTTTAACTCATTAATATGCACAGCCTGTCACAACTCATTCATGTATAATTAAGCAATAATCATTTCAAAATCAATGATTTAGGAATCCTACTACTTTGGTAGTGACTCTCCCTTTATGGTGTCATTCAATATTCTGGATTCAATATACAGGAATGATAGACAATGTAGATTGCTGCATACTTCCTCATTTATACTGGAAATGTGTATCTGAATAAAGGGAAAGGGCAAGAAATATTTATAACACAACTGTGTACTTTCCTCGCTCTTTGACATTTTTTGTGACCCAAATAAAGTATTATGAACAATCTGAATTGAGTGATCAAAGCTGATTTAACAAATGGTTTATAACTAAAGGTTGGGACAATATTTCTAAATAACCATGACCATATATATAGAGAGAGGCTGAAGACATGGCTTAGCTGTTAAAAAAGCATATATGTCACTTGCAGAGGACCCAATCTTCAGCCCCCAGCATCCACAAAATGTGGCCCACAAGCAACTATAACAACAGCCCCAGGAGCATGCAGATCATTTGGACCCTGTGAGCACCTGCATTAACATGCACACATGCATACATGTATGCACATATCCAAGTAAAAAGAAAAGAGTGTCAATCAAGGAAATTTCATTTGCCCACATTATTTAACCTAAAAACTTGTATTCATTTAAATACAAATTATCATTCCCAGTCAAAGCTGCCTTTGAATTATATATTATTGTACATCTTAGGATAGATTATATAATTTTCTTTCACCAAATATTTGTAAACTTGCTGATTGCTTGTGTATTATTCATATTTTATCTGACCAATCCAATTCCCTGGTAGGTATGGTTGCCTAGAGAGCCCTGCTCATACTTTGTTGGGTTTACTCAGTAAGTTAGAGGACAGCAATCAGAATCAATGCTGACAGCCTCCTCTCACACTTCCCTATCAACTATCAGCACTTTTTATAATTCTTTTTCTTTAAATTAGAAAAAAATCTTATTTCCCATATCAATTCCAGTTCTCTCTCCCTTCCATCTTCCCATGCCCCCATCCCTTCCTCTTTTGTCACTCCCCCGCCCAAGGGGAAACCTTCCTGGGGAATCATCAAAGTCTGTCATATCATTTGGGTCAGGGCCTATGCTGAGAGAGTAAGCCTCTGGGGAAACTAATGTGCAATTTGAGATAATTTTCACTTATTGTAAAACTTCTACACCGAGAAAAAATTAGACATTTCTTTTTCTGACCCATTCAATCAAAATAACCCTGACATTTACTCCAGCTTATTGCACTGTAGTTGCATTTAACAAGAGTATAGCCAGTGAGCAGTGGCTGGATAAATGAATCCTGCTTGAGAATAAAATATCTGTCATTTAAAAAAAAGCTATTCTATGTAGCTAGCTCCTTGTATCCTATCCAAGCTAGTTCCTGGGTACCTCACTTCTCTAGAATTGGAGAATTTAGTCTGGTTATCCTTTGCTTTATATCTAATATCCACTTACGGGTGAGTACATACCATGTTTGTCTTTCTGAGTCTGGGTTACCTCTTGGGGGGAGGGGCTTGTTCCTGCAGCAACTAGATGTGTCATGAGAGCCCTTATCTGTTGTGCGGAGTGGATGGATGGTAGGGATGGGGGGGTGAGAGGGAGAATTTAGTTGGAATGTTAAATGTAATTAAAAATGGTCCAATGAAAAACAGCTATCCTATATAGGCATAAACTATATTGATTTTATTTTAAAGGCTTGCTGTGTCAATACACTTATGGTATAAATATATTTTTCCATACATTTACATAAAATATACTAAATACTCGACACCGCAAGAAACACATAGAAGTAATATTATATAGGCAAACAGGTTACTCATATGTATAGATATCAACAATTAATGAAACCGTGTCTGAATTTTAAAAGAGCAAGGAGGGGTATGTTTGAATTTTTGTGGTAGGAAAGGGGAGGAGGGTGT